TAATTTTGGGGTTGAACTTTTTCAGGAACATTAGTTTTTGGTTTGTTCCTCGATAAAACTGAATTCATAACCTCTATATCATCTAATTCTCGGCTTATACCTTCAGATGAGAATTGGTGAACAATCGCGGGAGTAGATCGTGCCGGTTCGTCAGTGTTAACGTTTATTGTGTTTTCAGCACGCTGTAAGTGTCGCTTCCTTTTTTAACGTATCTGAAAATGAGTTTTATATTATATGTAATACCTTAGTTATATAACAAAAAATCAATAGCAAAGCATCAATGTTTAGTTTTTACCAGCACTCGAGATTATTTCGACTTCACCAGGTATCCGCTTTTCTTTGGTAGAATTTTTTTTCTCTAGATATTTATCTCTTTTTTTAGTTTTTTTTTGTATTCGGGTAGTAGCAATGTAACTTATCTTATATTTCATCAAGCCATGAATATGGGACCAAATCCATTTCATCGTAACCAGGACCCCGCCTAGGTAAAAAGCTCTTCCTTAACAACAAGTTGAATTTGGTGCGATAAACAATCAATGTTTTTTAATATTTAATAAAGAAATACCTTTTTTCATGTTAGTGCCACCATCCCTAACAATACATAATACCTTTTCTTTGGGAATTCCCATGATGAACTGTATGTGTGTATGCATTTCTTCTGTATGTCGCCCATCATTAAATACTTCAGATTTCAAAATTTTTTCTTTCAAAAACTTTTGGTAATTCCGTGACAAGTGAAACTTATCAGCGATTATCAGTTGTAAACGCTAGTTTTTCAAATGATTTGGTTAATTCCCAGATTTTATCTTTTACCTTGCCATAAAATTTTTTGCAAATAAACGAAGTAAAATATTGCCGAGTTTTTAAATTATACGAGGGGCACACTTGGTTAATAAACTCACAAATCCAAGGCATTCCACAAAACTAATGGTAAGTCCTCCAGTGCAATCATTTCGCAATTAAATTATCCAGCTCCAAAGACTTAGTGTTGTTGTTATCCGATTTTTTATTTTTTTCGATGCAATCACTTAAAGATATTTGCTTATGGTCGGTTTTGGTACATTGTCGCGAAGAGGACGCCAAAAAATTAATTTTAGCAGCACCTCGCTTTTTATGCTCTCTTCTTTTCAATTCGTCATATTCATTTTTGTGTTTAGTTTCTAGGTGATTTCGCATAGCACTAGTGGTCCTGCCTTTGCGCGAGTACTTTTTATCACACAACTTGCAATTTACATTTTCAGCATCATATATTGTGAAATAAGTCCAAACTTCGCTAACACGTGCTTTACTAATGTTTTTATACCACTTTGTCACTGAATATCAGTTAAATTTGGGAAATGCAATAACACCAAACTAACCTCAAATCAAAACAAAACTTGTCGAATGAGTTTTCTGTGACTAACTTCGTTCATTCAACTTGTATCGGCTCGGCTGTGTTCAGTTTAAACATGGCCGACACGAAATGTCAAAATTCGCGAATATTGAAGATGAATATGGGTTCGTTCCATCCGAGCCAAATCTGACAGTCCGGAACTGTTTCAAACTAGACCAAACTCATTCTGATTTTTTCATGGCAGTTGGCAATGGTTTGGTTTGGATACATGCAACGCGTTCGAACTCAGAGCTCGATTTTATTCGGTGGTATTCGGTACAATTCGGAATTCGTTTGCAGATTATTTACGCCCGTTCATCGTTCGATGTTTGATCATAGATAAAGAATAAGTTTATAAAAAGTTTTTATAATATTAAAATATAATAGTTTTTTATAATATTAAAATAGTATTTAGTATAATAATGAGAAATACCACCTTGAACAATAAAACACTCGTTTAGTTTTTAACTGAAGATTAATCATTTCGATTTTCACATAATTTTCCCTTTTGACGTTTTTTATTGCATTAAATTTCAACAACTATTTTCGTTAATTTGAATAATAACATTGAACTGTAACATTTTACAGATTATATTTTAATAATAATAATAATAATAATTATATATATATATATATAATAATAATTATATTATTTTAATACATAAATATAAGTTTAATATAGATATATATATATATAATAAATATATATTATATATATATATATATATATAGATAGATAAATAAATATATATATAGAATATTATATATATATATTATATAGATATGTTTATATATATAGATATATATATATATATAAACATGTTCTAATAAAATGTAACTTAATTATATCAATAATTTGCTTTTTAATATTTCCTAGTTATATATCGTTATGTCGCTTAATCTAATATTCTACAATCTCTGTTAATTCATTAAATTTTTAATGTTTTATTTGAGATTAAATAACATTATAATTTAATCGTATTAAATTGCGGAGTTTTTGCTTGTGCCGGGTACAAACACAAAATGATAGTTTCAAACTCATCGGACTGCTGGATGGAACGCATTACTGACAATCCGCAACTGTTTGGAATCCGAAATTTTGGATGGAACAGAAAAAAGTGTACTGCGCATGCGCGGACAGTTTCGGACTGTCAGATTGGCTCGGATGGAACGAACCCTATATCTAGTTCAATTTGATTTTTTCCGTACTAAATGCCTTAACATTATTTTTGGAATGATAAAACGGTGATAGTAATTTTAATAAAAATCACAGATTTCATAATATTATTATCGAAGATTATTTGTTCTTTTTCAATACAGGCTTTTTTCCTGTACTATATAGATATCTACATTCACAAAAACATCTCATATTAGTGCGGTCGGGCGTCGTGGGGTACTGATTTTAGTAGGGTAAAAAAACATGCATTTTTATATTACTACTGGAGTTTCCACAACTTGGTACACTGCATTTAGCCATATTAAATTAAATCACTTGAATACAAATAATTATAAACAAAATGCTTCACAAGGTAGATAAATGAGATTCACAATAAAATACCGACGGTTTCCCCAAAACGAACAATCGATTTGTCGTTTGAATCTTTGAATTGAAAATAGTAGCAAAACAGGGTAACTAGAGACACGGTATCGAATAGAAAGTATCGATACTGTACTCATGAGTAGTATCGATAAAAAGTATCGTACTCGTAAAAGAATCGACACAAAAGTATCCATACCTCAATGTATCGAGTTCTTTTCTCAGGCAGGGACTACGCGGTACGCCATACGTTAGTTTGTCAATGTTAGTCAATAAGTATCGTCTGTACCTTCATACAGTAAAGAGAAAATGAAAAAATAACAAAATGGTACATAAAGTTATAAGATGAATAAAGTAATGTAAGTAAATCCACAATTTTTTAATCTAAAATATTATAAAAACCATTCCTTCTCGGTACAATCGCTCAAGAAAAGAAGTTCGTCGAGCCTTTTTGACGATAGGCGGTTTAGTCCAGTCATTTGGTCGTCTTGCCGGTACAGTACTCCGGGAATTCTGAAAATTGGTAATCTTATAGATTTCGAGGTGCTCTTTACGGAAATCAACTTTGCCACCTCAAATTTGAACGGCAAGTTGCCGCCATATTGAAAAAATGGCGTCAAAAAACAGCTTTTTTAAAATATCTACTTTCTGGCTCAATCTACGATAAAAGTATCTATGTGCGAATTAAACTAGAGAAAATTTCCTACAATTCCTTAGAAACCCGTTTTTTGTAAAATTGATAGTTTGAGAGTACGGCCGCCTCAAAAACTTTGCTGCTCTCGCCGTAGTATCAAATCTGTCCATATATGACAGCACTTCGGACTTGACCACATTCTCTCTAATAATTAATATTTTCAATATTAAATTGAGTGAATAAGATCTAGAAATAAAATAATTCAAATATTTTTCTGTTTTTTTTGCTGATTTTTTAACGCTTCAAGCTACTTGAAGCTATAAGGTGCTACTCAAGCTATAAGTATATTTACAGCTACTTTGCCATTGAAGTGTTAAAAAATTAGCAAAAAAAAAACGAAAAACATTTGAATTAGATCGCTTAAGATCTTATTCGCTTAATTTAACATTGAAAATATTAATTATTAGAGAGAATGTGGTCAAGTTCGAAGTGCTGTCATATATGGACAGATTTGATACTACGGCGAGAGCAGCAAAAACTTTGAGGCGGCCGTACTCTCAAACTATCGATTTTACAAAAAAACGGTTTTCTAAAGAATTGTAGGAAATTTTCTCTAGTTTAATTCGTACATAGATACTTTTATCGTAGATTGAGCCAGAAAGGAGATATTTTAAAAACGCTGTTTTTTGACGCCATTTTTTCAATGTGGCGGCAACTTGCCGTTCAAATTTGAGGTGGCAAAGTTGATTTCCGTAAAGAGCACCTCGAAATCTATAAGATTACCAATTTTCAGAATTCCCGGAGTACTGTACCGGCAACAGCCTTTTTTTGCACCAAATGACTGGACTAGTTGCGGGTTTTAGTAATTGTACTTCCAGCTTTCGAAAACAATCTTTCTGAGGGCACTCAAGTCGCAGGGATCGATAAAAATTCTCGTGCCAATTTATATAATTTTGGGAAAACAACTTTCATATCTTCCCATTGTTTCAGAGGATCCAAAGAAAGTGGCGAAACCTGTGTAGATAAATAATGGCTTATTTCATCCTTATTTTCAAACTGTGATGAAGAACTGGTTTTACATCGCTTTTTCGTGTGAGATAATTTCTTGTGGTGACTCCAAAAATCGTAAGTTGTTTCAAAAGAGGAATCGCTGTCATGATCGCTGCCGATAACACTGGGAGACGTTGCTATTTATCTTCTCAGTAAAGAAAATGCCTTTGCACAAGCATTAGCGTCCTGAAAATGGATATTCTTGAATCTCGGATCTAGCAAACATGACATTGCAATCAAATAATTATCTTCAATATGTCCGAATCGGCGTTCTATCTGTTTTAGGATTTCTTTGTTTATTGTATCTATTACCCTTCCATGGAGACCATCACCATCACCTACAGCCATAGGTATATTATTAATCTGCGTCTTCAAACAGTTCACCATCGGGTTTATTTTACTAATGGTTACATACTGTCACCTGATAACTCTTTGGTTACATACTCCAGCGGTTTCAAAATACAAATCAATGTTTTAATATTTTGCATTTCTACAGCCGATGGTGTGGGTGGTGCTTTTGTATTTAACATCAAAATTTGATGAACTATTGGTGCTAATTCAATGTATCTCTGTAGCATATAATAGACGGAATTCCACCGAGTCTTCACGTCTAAAATCAGTTTGAGAGGTTGAGACTCAGTGCTTACTAATGTTCCTAAATCATTGACTGACATGGCAGATTCAGCGATTAGATTAATTGTATGAGCAAAGCATGGTAAATGTTTGTTCTTTTCTAGAAAATTTGCTATGCCGGCTATCATGTTCGAGCGCTTGTCTGTAACTACTGCAGTTATTTTATCCAAACTGATGTATATACCTGCACAAATTTCTTTTAATTTTTCAGCGATAAAATTACCAGTATGACGCTGATCCAGTGCAACGGTAGCTATGCAACGTGACACTAGTTTGTCTTCTTGCAAATAATGAGCAGTAACCCCTGAATAAGTGGTAACGGTCATCATCTCACTCCGAATATCGCAGGTTAATGCCACGAGATCTACATTGTCAACTATATTTTCTACTTTCAAACGCATTACACTATAAAAGTGTTCGAATTGTGCTTTAAGGGTATCTACATGAGGAATTTTAAATGATGGACACGCTTGATGCATCAATTTTTTAAACCCACGACCTTTCACAATGTCAAACGGTCTTTTATCAACGCAAATAAAATAAAGCAAACATTTGCAGAGTTTCAAATAATCTTTTCCCCCATCCAAATTGAAAGTTGCATTTTTTTTGAAGTGGTGCATAGGTTTCTTCTAACTCATCATCACCACTGATTACTATTGGAATTCTCTCGACATCAGATGGTGAAGGAGTTGTTAACAATGTATCTTATTCAGGTGCTTACGATGTACTTGTTGATGGTTGGGGTTCGTGATTACGACTCGGTAAATTCGACAGTTCTAACTTTTTCTGAATCGTCGACATCGTCGTTTGTTTTTTTATCTCCTTTTACACTAAAAAGAATATATAAAATAACCAGTTTCGTGCGCCTATTAAATTACTACAAAACAAATTTTAGGTTATATAAATAAGGACCATATAATCATTAAAAAAAATTACCTTGAGGCATCAGAATTAGGGTGTTACTTTAAATGTTTATTCATGTTTGACGTATTCCCTGACGATTTTAAGGTTTTGAAACAAATCTTACATTTCACTTCGTCTTTGTTAATCTTGACGAAATACTGCCAAACGTCACTCTTGGTAGGCGGCATTCTTTGGATATTGCAATGATTCAAATTCCGATACAAACACATAATAGTGAGTGCTGTTCTGAATAGGTTGAAATATCAATAAGTCAATTATCATTTATTAATAATCGAATCGAATTTATCGACAATCCATCGAAGTTAACTTTAACGCTGATACTATCGGGACAGATTTCAAGGTATTTCTTCATGAAACGGAGAATAGGAATACCTTCCTATACCCCAAAATGAACATATTCACCACCGTTATTTAATTTAATGGCATCAGTGGCATTTTTTAGAGTGCCCAATAATGTGCGAATATTTACATTATTTCAATGAAAAATTGAAATGTTTCGACATAACCTCAAAACTGATTGTTAACAATTGCAAAAATTTATCGAAAAGAATACAACTTTCACTATGTTAATCGTCTGGGTATTCTCTTAGAGCAACTCTGATCACTTTTTCCAACTTTTCACTAATTTATTATGATAATTATAACTATAATTAATAAATATTTGCACTGATTTGCACTATTTCACTTTAACTTCGAACGTATTTTGACACCGCGGATGTCAAAATACGTTCGCCGGTTAGTACCGCCGGTTAGTACCGATGTACCATGACAAATGTAATAATACTTGATTGTAGGTTAAGGATTTGTATGTCAAACAGAGAAAATGCAAAATAAATAAGATTAAATTGAATAAATTATTATAATTTAATCATTTTCATTTCACCACTGTCTGCCACTAGTGGGTACGCCAACTATATACACGTTTTTTACACATGCGTCCTAGATCTGTGCCGTTCGGGTCCTTCCGGGTCTCCTCGATATCCACCGTCACGGTTCGCTTACAGTCGTTCGTGATGAAATTTCATAGCGTGGACAAATGACGCTCATAAATCTTTTCAATCCTGATTTTTCTACACAAGGTAGGGGCATGTTGTCTTTGCAAATCATGTAGATCAAAGCTTGATTTATTTGGCTAGTTTTATGACCTTCTGCTAAATTGAGAAAAATAATAAAATTAGAACATCCTCATAGAACTAAAATGTAAACAATACAGTAATCTAATCTAAAAAAAAAAAATACCTTCATAGCTTGAACTTTTTTCAAACATATCTATGAGTGTAGTCTGTATCCACAAGTCTTTACTCTGACCATCTTTGGAGGATTCAGTCTGAAAAAAATTATTGAATATTTTGTATATATTTCATTACACTTGTCGCCATAAATAGTATTAAGGTTAATGAAAACACCAAAATTTAAATTTATCGATATCGATACTTTTAGTAATTACACATCATTAGTTGACTGGAACTGGTTATTGGTTATTGGTTATGAACAATTGATATTTAGATTCTAAAGCTACGTTTGATCTTGCGCAAATAAAATACTTACACCAGTATCATCGTAAATCGCAATTTCAGACGATTCCATGAAGTTATTTTCTATCTCAGCAGGTTTATTAGTATTGGTAATAGTTGAATTAGTAGACGAAACAGGTGAACTAGTTCTTGTTAATGATGTTAATATTCACTTCACTTGACCTTGAGTTTTTATTTTGCAAAAACGCATGGTGATGCTTATTTTTAAGATGTGTAAATAAATTCGTCGTATTGCCACTGGTTTTATATATTTTCCCACACACATTACATGAAACATTTTGTCTATTTTTTTTTGAAAAAGTTCCATACAACACTAGACATGACTGGAATGCTCGAATTATTTTGTTCACATACGTGAATTAATTATTGATTTAATTAGTTAGATTGTTCGAGAACTATAATCAACTCAAATGCAGGCAGAAATACGCTCGCGTTGAGGTTATATAGTGCAGTAAACGGAGCGTTTTAGGTCTGAATTTTTTTACTGTGCTCCGAATTGAATGAAATTTTGGAATTAGGTTTATCTTACCCTCAAGTTCAAAAGTGAAAACAATTCGGGTTGCGCCATCACCCCCCGGGGGGATGACACCCCTTCTCAATTGTGTAATTACATTTTTTTAAAATAACGTCGGAAATCGATAGAAGAACTAATTATAAGAAAAAAATATCTTCTATAGTTTTTCAAAAAAAACTAATACTTTTCAAGTTACTGGCCACTAAAGATTTATATATTTTTGGCGTTTTTCTTCGGTTTTTTACAAATATCTCCTAAAATATACATTTTAACGAAAATCATGTAATGAACAAAATAATGTCAATAAAAATCTTAATAAATCGGTATTACATAAAGTGTTCTAGGAAAAATATTAAGCAAGATTTAAAAGAGCAAAGTCGTTTTTTATTTCGTTCAAGATTTAATTGTTGTATTTAAAGCCATCCAGTGTCGAGGTTTTACATTTTATGCATTTCGGTGAAATTGGGATTTATAGTGCTCAACATAAGCTTTAAAATGAGTGCTGTTACAAGTTTTTTGCGTGTAAAATGAGTGAGCTATCATGCAAATAAGAAGCATATACGAAGTTTTTTTCTTTCAAATCATATGGTTTAATGAGCGCCATTTCCACCAGAATTAAAGTAATTCATATTCCATCTAGAATTCACTTCATTATGGACGTCTTGATGGATTCTAGCAGATTCACTACTTTAGTACAAACTATTTTCAGAAAACTCACGATTTTATAAAAACTTTTTTTTCCAATTTGCGCGGCCGCGCAGTCTTTAAACATTCATAACTCTGTCAATTTTTGTGTGAAAGAAAAATAATAAAAAATAATAATAAGCCAGAAAGATCCCTTTGATTTTTATCTATATGCTTTCATACGTGTCTTTTATTCTTTTTGAGATATAATGAAAATAAGTTCGATTTTTAAAAAAATCCGAAAATTTTTTTTTTATAAAATCGTGAGTTTTCTGAAAATAGTTTGTACTAAAGTAGTGAATCTGCTAGAATCCATCAAGATGTCTATAATGAAGTGAATTCTAGATGGAATGTGAATTACTTTAATTTTGGTGGAAATGGCGCTCATTAAACCATATGATTTAAAAGAAAAAAACTTCGTATATGCTTCTTATTTGCATGATAGCTTACCCATTATACACGCAAAAAACTAGCAGTACTTATTTTAAAGCTTATGTTGAGCACTATAAAACAATTCCACCGAAATGCATAAAATGTAAAACTTCGACACTAGATGGCTTTAAATACAACAATTAAATCTTGAACGAAATAAAAAACGACTTTGCTCTTTCAAATCTTGCTTAATATTTTTCCTAGAACACTTTATGTAATACCGATTTATTAAGATTTTTATTGACATTATTCTGTTCATTACATGATTTTTGTTAAAATGTATATTTTAGGAGATATTTGCAAAAAGACGAAGAAAAACGCCAAAAATATATGAATCTTCAGTGGCCAGTAACTTGAAAAGTATTAGTTTTTTTTGAAAAACTATAAGACATTTTTTTCTTATAATTAGTTCTTCTATCGATTTCCGATGTTATTTTGAAAAAATGAAATTACGCAATTGAGAAGGGGTGTCATACCCCCGAGGGGTGATGGCGCAACCCGAATTGTTTTCACTTTTGAACTTGAGGGTAAGATGAACCTAATTCCAAAATTTCATTCAATTCGGAGCACAGTAAAAAAATTCAGAGGTTATACCCTTTTTTCCTCTCCGTTTACTGCACTAATAATACGGATAACAGACGGATAGTTGATTGAAGCACAGACACTGACACTGAAATGACATTGACAGACAGAGTTACCAACTTAAAAGCCAACTTAAGTACCAAATTAAAACGCAGTAAATCGAGTCGACCAAAGACAAAAAAATGTAATTTGTTAAAAAATGTTAGTATAAAAAGTATTCTTTTTTAGGATTTTTTAATTATAAAAAATATGGATTTTTATACCTTTTCAATACTTGTAATTTTATATCGATACCTCGATACATCGAAACATTAAATATCGCTCAAAAATATCGATACATTGAAAAAAATAATATCGATATATCGATGTATCGATATTTTTCAACGAGCCTTTACCACCGTGTGCTCTACATCCTATTAGTGCTGTCGATACTACTCAAATATAGGGGGTGTGAAGGTGAAGCAGGCATAACACTATCAATTCTATGTCAATTCTGTCCCCTCCTACTCTCAATACTTCCTAGGACGTTGTCAGCGTTGAATCGTTGAAATAAACTAGTTTTTTTAACTAGAACCCGTTGACGAAAAAAACGTCAACGAGATCCGGCTTGTATCAAGTACTGATTGGTTTTTATATTCTACATAATATTCGAATTTTTTGATAACAATAATTAAAGATACCAAATTTGTAAAAAAATGCAAAATTCAATAATATAACACATTTCACTAAT